GCCACCATGCACACACACACACACACACACACACACACACACACACACACACACACACACACACACACACACACACACACACACACCCGTGCTCACATTCATGCACACACACACACACATGTGCGCACACAAATGTACACGTACACAACCGTACACCCACCGCGTTTGCAGTTTGATGGACTGCAACCCAACTACTACCACTTCAGCTGCTTCTTCAAGACGGGCAGCCGGCCGAGCAGCACCACAGACATCGAAGGCTTTGAACTTCTTCGCCTCGAGGACCAGAAGAAGATCAAAGACAAGCTGGCCAAGGTAAGCACGCAGCCACGAAGAGGGCGCTTACACACGCATACATACATACAAGTGTGTGCAGGTGGTTTTGTTGCAGCTGCAGCCACAACTGATGAAGGTATCTTGTGGTTGGGTTGCACAGGCGGCTGCAGGCGGCAGTGGTGATGCCAGCAGCGACAACGCAGACTTGACCATGGAATACGCCAAGAGCTCCAGGTGACACGTGCTCTTGTCACACACGCACAGGCTAGCACAACAGACAGACAGACACAGACACACACGCACGCACGCACTCGGTGGTTCTTTACCCCCTCACATGCACACACACACGCACTCAGCGTGCTTCACCCCCCTCACACGCACACACACATGCACACACACGCACACTACTCCTGCGGTCTCCGTGCAGGGCTGCGTGTCGCAAGTGCGAGGAGAAGATCAACAAGGGAGAACTTCGCCTCGGTGTTCTCATGGACCCGCCAGCAGGTGCAGTGATGTGAACACACATGCAACATACTCGTACATGGCAGCCACTACTGTCTGTGGTCGTGTTTGCGCACACCCACACAAGCACCCACACACGAAACTTGACGCCTCGCATTGTCGCTTCCCTCCTTTCCTCCTTTCCCTTCCTTCCCCTCCGCTTCATCCATTGCTTCCTTCCTGCCTTGCGTGCAGAGGCGAGCTTTCGCGGGAAAGTGCCGTGGTGGTACCACCGCCGCTGCTTCATCGGCGCCCTCTCTGCCCACAAGGACATCGCCCTCGCCTCCCTCGCACCAGAGCAGTTCAAGAACCACAAACGCATCAGTGCGTTGCACACATATGTGCTGTGCGTGTGCGTGTGCGTGTGTGTGTCTGTGTGTGTCTGTGTGTCTGTGTGTGTGTGTGTGTGTTGTCGTGCCTACATATTAAGGGCATTGCTGCTGTTGATTCGATTTATGTTCTGTTGTCCACTCCGCTCGCAGCTATCTCTTGTGAACAAGTGGCCATGAACGAGCCTGTGTCTCCTAATTCCACTTGCATTGACCATGGCAAGCTTACCCATCACTCACCACCTCATCATCCATCATTGCCTCGATCATCCATCATCGCCTGCCTTCAGGCGCTGACGACCTTGCCGACGTGCGCTCGCTCTTCGACGCTGCACGCAAGGCGGCAGGCGTGAAGGCAGCATCCGCCCCCGCCAGCAGCGTTGGCAAGGGGAAGGGAAAGAAGGTGAGCCAACGTGTCCGCGCGCTTTTGTTGTGGTGGAGGTCACACCTGCACTCTCCTTGCTGTTCTGTGTACAGTGGTATGTACAGCGTTGCACACACACACACTCTCTCTCTCTCTCACACCCCACACACACACTCACACTCACCCACACACACACACACACGCTCGCTCACTCACCCCACTTACAACAGGGAGGAAAGCGTTCGGCGTCCTCTGCGAAGAAGGAGGCGGAGGATGAGGATGAGGAGGCACCACCACCAAGCAAGACAGCAAAGGGGCGGGGACGAAAGACTGCACAGACGAGAGGCAAGGCAACAGCGACACGTGTGAAAGAGGAAGCAGAGAAAGAAGATGAAGAAGAAGAGGATGGTGCTGAGAGCGAAGAAGAGCGCAAGTTTCAGCAGCAAGTGAAACTCATTTGGAAACACAAGGATAACTTGTCCGCGCTGTCCACGACGGCAATCAAGGATGCGCTGATGGAGAATGATCGCCCAACCCATGGAGGAAGGCAAAAGCTGCTGGTCAGGCGCCACATGTGTGTGTATACACGTGTTTATGTGTGTACGTATATGAGTGTGTGTCTGTGTGTGTATGTATACACGTGTGTCTGTGTGTACGTACATATGTGTGTGTTGCGTTTACTCACTCCACCAGCTCATACCCCTCCCTTGATCCACACACCCAACAACCCCTCCCCCCCCCCCAAACACACACACGTCGATTTCAGGATCGGCTTGTGGACGGGCTGCTGTTTGGACAGCTGCAGCCCTGCAGCAAGTGCGGCGAGAACAGATGGAAGTACACGTCCAGCGGCTACGAGTGCCGCGGACACATCAGCGAGTGGGAACCGTGCACTGTTGTCACCCGCGACCCGCCACGCTCGCCATGGTGAGAGGGTTGTGCTGCTGTTGCTGGGTGTGCGCGGTGGACCAGGAGGGGCGAGGGCAAGAAACGGGCGTGTGTTTGGGTGGCTGGTATGGCTCAGGGTCATGGAGCTGTGAGGAGGTTGCTTCTGAAATGGATGCTTAGCATCAAGAACACGTGGTTTCATATGTATGTAACACACGCACACACACATGCACATGCACACACACGCACGCACACACGCACACATACACACACATACATACATACACACAAACTAACATACACACGCGTGCAGGATTGTCACGGAGGAGATTCGCGATTTGGACGCATATGAAAAGTTCAAGTTCAAGAAAAACAAGCGGCTGTTTCATCCTGCACACGTGCGCGCACGAGAGGAGGCCACGACGAAGGCGGCGGCCATGGATGACGATGATGGTGACGATGACGGCAATGATGACGGTGGTGCTGATGACGAACAAGACACGTGAGTTGTACCCCACTGCTGTTATTGCTTGCATGTTCGACACTCGTATGCACACACACGCGCGCGCGCACACACGCGCGCACACACACACACACACACCGCACACACCCTACGCACACACACACACGCACCGCACAAAGGATCTTGCTGTTTGCCGTCCTCAATTGAATTTATGCACGACCTCACACATTTCCGCACACGTACACACTCTTACACTCATCTGCATGCACACATACATGTGTGCGCATGTGTGTGCAGGGGCCCACTGTCGGGCCTCTTCATCGCCATTGCCGGTCGTCTGTCGCAATCGCAACCCGCCATCAAGAAACGCATCACGGTGTGTGATGGCATGTCCTCATGTGCATGATCTTGAGCCTCCTTGTACTGTGGTGGGCTGGGTGGTGCCATGACAGTATGCATGTTGCCACTACAATAGGGTATTGGTGCCGATGCGACCTGCATGGCTGGCTGCCTTGCACAATGCTAACACTCATCTCCCGTCTCAACCCAATCCCTCTCTGCATTTCTCCCTCCTGTCGCTCCACCCTCACCTCATGCAACGTCATCTCATCCTCGCTCTGCTGTGAAGGCGCTCGGTGGCAACGTGCACACGGGCGCTGTTGGCAGCGTCGTCACGTGTGTTCTCTCGTCCGATGCCGAGGTGAGGCAGAAACTGATTGGCGATCATGCACGTACACGCACACGTACGTCTACACACACACACACACGCACACACACACAGGCATACGTACGCACACGTACACACGCATACGTATTGTTCCCCATCCCGCGCCTCGTCACCATCATCGCCACTCACACGTTCGCTTCCGCAACAGGTGGAGAAGGAGACGAACAAGAAGATCAAGGATGCAATTAACTTTGGTGTTCCAATTGTTTCTCTGGACTTTCTCGACGACTGCGAGAAGCAACACAAGTCAGTCAATTGTTTGTTTGTGTTGCGTATGTGTGTGTGTGTGTGTGTAGGTTTGTTTGAGCATGATCTGGGGTTGGCAGTGCGTGTGTGTGTGTGTGTGTGTGCTCCTGCACACGATTTCATTGAATGTGCGAGTGCATGTGCTGTAGGTGTGCACTGCTTGAACCGCATGTCATCAAGTGCACGTCCACCATCATCGAACCGAGCAAGGAGAAGGTACGATTCTCCGGATGTTCAGCTTGTAGCGAGCGAAGGGATGTATAGATGGCTCGCACCCACTGCAATTCCCCCCCCCCCCACACACACACACTTGCATGTGCGCACGCCATGCATTGGCTCGCGCTGCACATCCCCGCAAGCAATTGCGCACACACACACGCACGCACACACACACACACGCACGCACACACGCGCGCGCGCGTCTTCATGCTGGCAGGAGCACGTGTCACGGCTGAAGAAGAAACACCGCGCCAAGAGCGGCGGCGCCATGATGGACATGACCCTGGATACCGAGCAGAAGGTGGTGGAGAGAGGGGATGTTGCGTGCCGTTTGATGTATGTGCAAAAGACACCGTCCTTTTGTGTTTTAGCGTGTGTGGAGGTGCGTGTGCTGTGTTTGTGCGCAAGAGTGCAGCTATAGGCGTGCGCGTGTACTTGCCCCATACCATCATCATGCTTCCGCACCCAACAGCGTCACAACACACACATTGAGCCACTCATGCCTTCCTTGCCGTTTGCCTGCATGCATGCTTCCAGAAAACCGTCGTGGTGAAGGGTCGCGCTGCTGTAGAGGATCCTGATCTCGCACTCACGCACCACGTCCTCGAAGAAGGTACACACACACACACACATACACACACACACACGCATACACGCATACACACACATGCACACACACCCTCGTTGCAGCGTGTGGTGGTGGTGGTGGTGCTTGAAGGGCTGTTGGTGGATATTGCTTTTCTTGTTCGCTTCAATAAGGGTGTGCAAGCGGCGCTGATACAGCTGACATGTCAGCAATTCACGCATTTGTTGGGGTTATTTCGCTCGTGTGCTCATGTGAAACCGTGCCTGCAGGCAAGCGCGTTTGGAATGCGTCCCTCGCCCGCACCGATCTCAAGCGCAACACGAACACCTACTACAAGATCCAGGTATGCCTGCCCGCTTGCTTGCAAGCATGCAGGAAGACACGTGAAGACCGCTTTGAACCAAGACCATCACCATCGTTTCCACCACCCTCACTCACCACCACTGTCTCCACCATCACTCCCCTCGCTCTCCTGTCCTTCAAGGTCCTGGTCCCGGATGCTGGCGGTCCGCGTGCGCGTGCGTGTCTGTATCGCGCATGGGGGCGACTCGGCACAACACAGGGCGGCACACGCATCGAACACATGTCCGTTTCTGCAGCCAAGAGCGAATTCCAGCGACACTTCTCAGAGAAGGCAAGCGCTGCACACTCGCGTGCACGTGTGTGATGGTGTACGAATGTGTGCGTGTGTGCGTGTGTGCGTGTGTGGGTGTGTGTGTGTGTGTGTGTGTGTGTGTGTGTGGGTGTGTGTGTGTGTGTGTGTGGGTGTGTGTGAGTGTGAGTGCGGCCTACTGTGATTCTTTGCGTATGTGTGCGTGCCTCTGAATGCCGTTTTCCTTCCTGCTCTCGTGTGCAGACGGGTGGAAACGATTTTCTGTCCGGAAAATACTTCAAAGTTCCCAATGCGCTCTATCCTCTCGACATCACTTACGACGACGTCGCAACATCGTGCGTGCAAGCAGTTGTGTTGCCTTTGTTCGTGTCCGCGTTCGCGCGCGTGTGTGTGTGTGTGTGCGCGCGTGTGTGTGCGCGCTGCGGTTTTGAGTCACGATGTGGCATTGCTTTTGCACTGTATTCAAGCTCACATGGCTCCATTCATCCAACCACCATTTAGGACGGTGGCAAAGGGCTCCAAAACATCGCTCGCCCGGCCCGTCGCCGAACTCAGTGCGTATGCTCTGTGTGTCTGTGTGTCTGTGTGTCTGTGTGTCTGTGTGTCTGTGTGCCTTGGTGTCTGTGCGTGTCTGTACACGCATGTGTTCGTCGGTGTCGCTTGCTTCTTTTTCTCCCCTCACATCATATCTGTCTGCATCGTCGCGTTTAACCAGTTGAACTCATCTTCGACGTTTCGCGCATGAAGTCCACAATGAAGGAGTTGGAAGTCGGTGCGTGTACAACACACACCCATTGTTACCTGCGTTGAACCACGTGTTTGCTTGCTTGCTTGCTTGCTTGCTTGCTTGCTTGCTTGCTTGCTTGCTTGCTTGCTTGCTTGCTTGCTTGCTTGCTTGCTTGCTTGCTTGCTTGCTTGCTTGCATCCACACACGCACTCCCTTTCTCACCACATGCACGTTCCGTTTCTCACCACCACACACGCACACATGTACACACGCATCAGACTTGACTCGGATGCCGCTGGGGAAGCTGTCGCGCTCGCAGTTGAATGCGGCAATGGAGGTGCTGACGGAACTGCAGAACATCATCCAGGACACCGCCCTCTCCACAGACGACAAGGTACGCCGTCTATGCTTGCTTGCTTGCCTGCTTGCTTGCCTGCTTGCTTGCATGCTTGCCTGCTTGCTTGCCTGCTTGTGCTCTGTTTGCTGTTTCAAACTTGTTCTCGTGTGCGTTTGCGCACTTGTGCGTGCGTGCGTTGAATCATTGTCAATTGACGGTACTGAAACTGTTGTTTCCTTCCTCGTTCGCGCGCGACAGCGGGGACGCCTTCTTGGATGCAGCAACAAGTTTTACACATGTGCGAACCTATTCCTGCATCGTACAACGAACATCACGCCAGCACAGATACACACCACAACTGGTCGTTCTCACTCTTCGCTCTCGCCCAAAACCACACATACATTCGCACACTCACTCACTCACTCACTCACTCACTCACTCACTCACTCACGTACACACGTGTGCTGCCGCGGTGCCAGACATCCCGCATGACTTTGGCTTCAAGTCGCCGCCGCCCATCAGCACGGAGAAGATGATCAAGGACAAAGTGCAGATGGTGGAGGACCTCATGAACCTCGAAGTCGCCTCACGCATCCTAGAGGTCGGCACTCTGTGTATGTGTGTGCGTGTGTGTGTGTGTGTGTGTGTGTGTGTGTGTGTGTGTGTGTGTGTGTGTGTGTGTGTGTGTGTGTGTGTGTGTGTGTGTGTGTGTGTGTGTGTGTGTGTGTGTTCAATGCACATTGTTGCAGGTGGACAACTTGCTGTTGTACAATCGTCCATTGCTCGTCCCAACTGATCGATTGCCACTCCCTCCCTCTTCCCCCTTGCACGCAGGACACGGCGGGGACGGCTGGTGAGGACCCACTGGATGTGTACTATCGGAAGCTGAAGACCGACATCACCGCCGTCGACAAGGACAGCGAGGAGTTCAAGATGCTCAAGGTGACTTGTACATGTGCATGTGCGAGCGAGCGTGCGTATGTGCGTGTGTGCATGTGTGTATGTCCGCGTGGGATTGTGCTGTCACGACGATGGCATTGACAAGTCTGCGGTTCGTGCCGTATGCTGCTGCGTTGACATTCACAATGATCCATCGCATGCACCTCACCTCTCATCATTCGTCCTCCACCCTTGCTTGACCACACGCCGATTGTCCAGACATATGTGAAGAACACACACGCGAAGACGCATCGCCAGTATGACCTCGAAGTCGTTGAGGTGAAGCAGCAACGGTTATGGAGATGGCGCTGATGATGGTTATGGTGACGTTGATGGCACTTACATTCTCGACAACGGCACACACATACACAGAGTCACACACACACAGAGTCACACACACAATCACACAATCACACACACACACAGAGTCACACACACACACAATCACACACATGCTAACCTTGGTTCGTGTGTTTGCGTGCTGTGCAGGCGTTCAAGATTGGTCGTCACGGTGAAGCAGAGCGCTATGAGAAGAAATACGGGTCTCTCCACAACAAGCGCTTGCTTTGGCATGGGTACGGACCTTGCAAACAGCATGCTGGGTTGAAGTGGCGTTGTATGTTGTGTGTGTGCTACGCTGTGCCTGTGCGCTCGGCGTATGTGTGTGTGTGTGTGTGTGCATGTGTATTGTAGGGATTTTGCCTCACGTGTGCATCCAATCCACTGTCTCCGTCCCAATCGTTTTTCTTCCCTCTCCATGACCAGGTCTCGCCTCACCAACTACGTCGGCATTCTCTCCGAGGGCCTGCGCATCGCCCCGCCCAGCGCTCCCGTCACGGGTTACATGTGAGCACGCAAGTGTTTGTCGTTGCGCTGTGGTGTTGTGTGTGTGTGTGTGTGTGTGTGTCTGTCTGTCTGTCTGTCTGTCTGTCTTCTGTCTGTCTTCTGTCTGTCTTCTGTATGTCTGTGGAAGCACTGATGCGTTCTTGCATATTGATCACTCGCTCAACTACACACGCTCCTCCACGCTGTAGGTTTGGCAAAGGCATTTATCTCGCCGACATGGTGTCTAAGTCCGCCAACTACTGCTTCTGCACCTCCGCCAACAACACGGGCCTTGTGGTGCGTGTGTATGTGTACGTGCGTATGTGTGCATTTGTGTGTGTGTGTGCGTGCACTACCGGGGTCTGCGTGCGGTCATATGTCGTTCATCATCCTCCATGCACTTATGTATGCACCCATGCACACGCAACCACCCACCCCCGCACACACACACGCCTCTTCCTTCAGCTGCTGTGTGAAGCGGCGCTGGGAAACATGTATGAGCGGAAGCACGCTGAGTTTGTGAAGAAACTGCCGAAAGGAAAGGTATGTCAGGGCGAACAATGCTTGCAAGCTTGACTGCATGTTCAACTCGCAACATGTGACACGCAGTGTTATGCGTTTCCTGTCCACCCCCATGCGTGTGTGCGAGAGTGCATCTCACGTCTGCCTGCACACTCAACCACATCCTCGTTCACATGTGCACACGTGTCAGCACTCCACGTTTGGCATGGGAAAGACGCGGCCGGATCCCAAGCAGACAATCACAATCGTGAGTTGCAAGTGCATGCGTACGTGTGTGTGTCTGTGTGTGTCTGTGTGTGTGCGCGCGTTTCTCTTCTCTGTTACTTCAGCTCACAAGCAATGTATGTATGTATGTATGTGTATGTGTGTGATGTGTGCCATTGACCATCGCTGCTGCTGCCTCCACCACCAGGACGGCGGTGTGCAAGTGCCTCTGGGCGTTGGAAAACCAAGCGGAGTCGCCAACACCAGCCTCCTCTACAACGAATGTGAGCCGTGCCATGTGAAAGGAATGTGTACCGCTGTGCACCAATGCATATGTGTTGTCGATTGTGGCTGTTTCCCGCCTCTCACGCAGCTTCATCTCTTGCCCTGCGTCACGACGGCCACCAATGTGTTGTGCAGTCATTGTGTACGACGTGTCGCAGGTGCACATGCGCTATCTCCTCCGGCTCGACTTCAAGTTCAAGAGCGGCCGCTGATAAGTAGCAGCAACAACAACAACAACAACAACAACAACAACAACAACAACAACAACAACAACAACAACAACAACAACAACAACACTCAGCACGCTGTGTTGTGTGGTTGCACGCTTGTGCTTGCACGTGTGCTTGCTTCATTGCGGCTTCGTTTACTCTGTTCTGTTATCCACACACCACTTGTCATCATCGCCAAAGCCGAAACATCTTGGACACCTGCACACCAGCAAATTATGTCGCACAGAGACAAAGAGAGAGAGAGAGAGAGGCACGTCATTGAGCAAAGGCGGTGCAGCACATGCATCGCAGCACACACATGGACACGTGCATACATACATCCCGTGCACACATGAAAACCGCACACACATGTACAACCACACTCAACACACACATACGCGCACACGGCACCTTGTGTGAGCTGTTGTCAGCGTGTCGGTGGAGGTGGGCGGTGATGTGGATGCGGAGATGTCTGCGATGCAATGGATTGCGCAGTAGAGCAACGTCGACCGCCATTGTGTCACCGGAACACACGTCCAACGGCTCATCAAGCATCAGCAGCGTGTGCTTCCAGTGTGTGTAGGGCGCCGTCGGAGATGTGCTCAACACCACCTGCAACATCATGAACGACCACAACAAGAACAGTAAGTGCACGGTACATGCGTGAGTGATTTCGCCACCTGTGCGTTGTGAAGGCTGTGCGCTGTAGACATTGCACACGCTTCGAATATGGACCAACACAAGAGCACGAAATTACAAGAGCACACACGCACACACACACACACACACACACACACACACACACACACACACACACACACACACACACACGCACACACACACACACACACACACACACACACACACACACACACACACACACACACACACACACGAGACACCGCACCGGTGCGTCTCTGTTGTGGCGGGACTGCCAGAACTCGACATTGAACCAGCTGCCAAAGCCGTGACACGTGTCATCGCGCGTCATCGTGAACGAAACACTCGTGTGAATCTCCTCCAACTCTTCTGCCGTCACCGTGTGCATGTCCGCCTGGATCATTTGAAAACATGAAGCATGTGCACGTGCGTGGTGACATGGTGTTTGGGTTGGAATGTACGCGAGACCGACACGCGCGACTTCGCATAAACGCAACACAAGAGACGAGCTGTGTGTACACACACACACACACATGTGCATTCAGTCACGCATACACATGTGTACACATGCACGACGCCCGCTGACCTCGAAAATGGATTGCGGCTCCGCCAACTGCTGTTCCGGATTCATCTTCCAGTCGTGAATCGGGCGGGAGAATTTGCTCTCCTTGTCAGCAGCGATGAGCGGCGACATGTCAAAGCCGCACTGCCGCCACCCGTAAGCGTTGGTGTCAGGGTGTGTGTGTGTGTGTGTGTGTGTGTGTGTGTGTGTGTGTGTGTGTGTGTGTGTGTGTGTGTGTGTGTGTGTGCAGGGGTGTGTGCAGGGGTGTGTGAGTGTGCACGTTTAGGTGTGACAACTGTTGTTCGTTGCAGTGCGATGGGAATGTGTGGAGGACTTTGCAGCACACAAACCAACAGTAGTACCAGCAACAACAACAGCAGCAGCACAGCAGTGGCAATGCACCTTATCCTTCCAGAACGACACATGATCTGCGTACGGAGTGCCACCAGCGAAGGAGTGGAGGAAACGCACAGATGCGGTGCGCAGCATGTTCGGTGGAGAAACGAAAACACAACCGTAAGTGCACACAAACACACACACAAACAAACGCACACACACACACACACACACAACACACACGCACAAACAAACAAACACCGCGTACACACGCCTGCAAAGCCAAAGGACGAGCGCTCACCGTCGAACATGTGTGCAGCGTTGACTGGCGTAAGGAGGAGACGGGAGTATGACGGGAGCATGAGGCCATCGGGGCGAAGGAATCGGTCGCGTGCAGCCAGCACTGTTGGTATGGTGGTGGTGGTGGTGGTGGTGGTGGTGGTGGTGGTGGCGGCAAAATGCATGTGTTCAGGGGAGAGTGAGTGGCGTTCGTTCAAGTCAACCAACACACGGCTGCTGGTGATGGTGGCGGGCGTGCACATACTCAAGAACAACAACCATGTGATGGAGAGCAGGACCTAGATGAGCAAGAACAACAGCACAAGACACAAACGGTGAAGTGTGCAGTTGTATGATGATGGACATGGCATGTGGTGGCCGTCGTGAAACAAATCACGCACCAGAATCCACCATGAACTCGAAGATGAGCATTGTTCCCATCCACTCTGACACAATGCAGTCGACCTGTCGAGTGAAGGTCGCGTGAAGCAGGGGCGTGAGAGTGAGAGAGAGGAGAGGAGGGGCATACACACATGCACGCATTGATGAAAATGTGCGTGCGCACCATGATGCACATGTGCGCGCGCACATTTACACACGCATACACACACACACAAACACACGCACACGCACACATACATACACACACATACAAACACACACACGCACACACACACACGCACACGCACACATACATACACACACACATAAACACACGCACACGCACACATACATACACACACACAAACGCACGCACACAAACGCACACACACACACAAACACACACACACAAACGCACGCACACAAACGCACACACACACAAACGCACAAACACACACACATGTATAAAAGCACGATGTTCGCACCTGTTCCACGTCCTCCACATCCTCCACGCGCGAGTGCAGGACGTCAATACACTCTGAATACCCGTTGGCCGCAATCACTTTCTCGGCCGCCTACCAGTTATTACACGTGCATGTGTGAGCGACAAGGAGAGAAAGGAAGGCAGGTCAATACGCAGATGAAGGGGCATGGAGAGTGAATAAGTGCGTGTGTGTGTGCGTGTGTGGTGTGTGTGTGTGGTGTGTGTGTGTGTGTGTGTGTGTGTATGTGTGTGTGTGTGGTGTGTGTGTGTGTGGTGTGTGTGTGGGTATGTGTGTGTATGTGGATGTGCTTTGCATCACATTGCGTGTGATGTTTGTACCTCGTAGAAGTCGCTTGCTTCCACGGCAATCACTTTGCGAGCACCAGTGCGTGCTGAAAGCAGGCTGAGCAAACCGGAGCCACATCCAATGTCCATGACCACACCGCCCCTGATCCAATTCGTACACAAGCAAGGCAGCAGTCAGGGTGAGCGCTATCGTGCTTGAACAACACACATGAGGTTGCTCCTGTCTTGGAAAGATGGCACATGTATGTGCGGCGCTGACAGCAAGCCAGTGACACACGACAACACATGATGATGCACACACAGGCCATTGACGTACTTGATGACGGCGTCAGCAGCGAGTTGGATACCATCGGAGTAGGCCGCATTCCGCGCCGTGTCTGACAGCATTTCGTGGTGGATGCCTTGCATGCGATGCAGTGTACACGTGCACAACACGACACACGCGTGAGTGGACACGTCAGTATTTGTGTGCATGCGCGTGAATGTGTGGTAAGCAATGGACGCAAGCTAATACCAAGCCACAAAACTTTCAAGAACGTACCGACTCGAGCATATTGGTCGTAGTATTCATCCTGCATCGTGGAGGGTGAGCGCGAATGAGTACTTTTTTTTTCAGTGGGCATGTTTACGAGCACACATTTACTTGTATTGTTGCTGTTGTTGTGGGTATTGTCTTTGTTGCTGCTGTGGTTTCTGTGGTTGTGATTGCTGTGGTTGATGTTGTTGCTGTTGTTATTCTTGCTGCTGTTGCTGCTTAGTTTGAGGCGAAACTATGTTTATTGACTTACATCTTGCCATTCTGTTTCCTGCGTGTCCTGCACGAATGCGGCTGGAATCCAGCCTGTGAGCCCGTCCGCTCGGCAGTACAGCCACCCTTCTGCCACATTCAAAACTGTTAACAAGAACAATGACACGCAACAAAGAGCAAAGCCAGACCGTGTGCGTGTCTGAGTGTGTATGGTTCTGTGTGTACATGAGTTTGTGTTGTTGTGCGTGTGCGTGTGTTTGTCGAAGGAAGCGAGGTTCAGTGAGAGCAACAAACCTCGTGTTGCACCACATACCTTCAAACAGCTGTCCTGGGGCGAAGTTAAGGCAACCAGGCCTCTCTTCCTCATATGCATAGAGTGCCTTTACAAATCGCTGTTGCTGCTTCTGCTGCTGCTGTTGCTGCTGCTCGTGGTGTTTGGTGTGTTCATCTTCAGCACTGTTGCTCCCCTTAGTCATCCTCATCATCGTTGACTCGTCCGCCTTTTGCGGTTGTAGATAATTTGTTTTCATACTCGTAATTTTCTGCAATCCAAGCAACGTGCTCACACACACCACCCCACACACACCACCCCACACCACCGCAACAACCATGCTCACGCCACAGTTCAGCCTGCGGCAGGATGATCAGTTTGTGTACGTGACCATCCGCGCACCCTACGTGAAGGTGTGTGTCTGTGTGTGTCTGTGTGTGTCTGTCTGCCTGTGTACCTGTGTGTCTGTCTGCCTGTGTACCTGTGTGTCTGTGTGTGTCTGTGTGTCTGTGTGTGTCTGTGTGTCTGTGTGTGTGTGTGTCACTGTCCTCCATTTCAACCCTTGTCTCTGTGTCAATACTGCCATAGCATCACTATGCGACTGTTGCCGCTTGCTTCTGCTTGCCCTTCCCTGCTTCCCCATCACGTTGCGTTCTCACTCACTCTGACATTGGGCTGCGTGCTACTGTGACAGATCTCCGAAGTGGACATGGCCATCTCAGGCAACATGTTCCAGTTGCACGTTGCGCCGTACTTTCTGCGCCTGTGCTTCGAAGGGGAGCTGGTTGAGGATGGACGGGAGACGTCAAAGTACGACATTGACAAGCGTGAGTTCTACGTGACGCTGCCGAAGAAGGAGCCCGGCCCGTTTCCCGACTTGGACATGCAGACGCTTCTCATGTCAAGACGGCAGCGACAACAACAACAACAACAACAGCAGCAGCAGCAGCAGTTGGCACCCGAAAGGGAGGAGGGCACAGCCACACGCCATCCTGACGCAGCAACAGAAGAAGCGGGTAAGCCCCGAGCGCGACCACTGATCCAGGTTCTGTCATCCACAGAATTTGGGCGCGACGAGGGTGCCAGCAGAGCGCATGTGCCCGCAGAGGAGCCGCTGCCAGAAGAATTACAAGCGCAAGCAGCTGCAGAGGACCCATATCAGTGGGAGGTCGAGCAAACCTTTCAAGAGGTGTGTGGCTGCGATTGTGTGTGTGTGTGTGTGTGCATTGTGCGTGTGTGTGTGCATTGTGCGTGTGTGTGTGTGTATGAGCGTACACGCTTGTGTGTGTGTGTGCGAGCATGCACGCTTG